TGTCCTAACCACCTGGCCATGCCGAGCCACAGAAAATGTATGAAGACAAATATTATCGGTATCTTAACGTACTTCTACACCTAATTTTACATTAAAACATTTTTTTCAACCTTATTTTAAGCGCATGTTGCCATTCTTTCATTAAACACCACTTCTGCTATTAAACCTTTCGAAATTTTGTGAATTTTTTAACAATTTACACTTAGAATATTTGAAATCCTACAATAAAAATCACATTACACAAAGACACACACATATATATACTGTTAACATAGATATTATTTAAACAGTTAATAAGGACTGGCTGGGTTTAAAACCAGAATAACAAACTTATCACGAAATAGAACAGGAATATAATTGGAAACAAGCCTAAATAAAAAATATAACTTTGCATAACTAAATCAAATGAAGTCACCAGGTCACAGGCTATAATGTCGGAATATAAAATGTGTTCCGGCCCTTTGGTTTGTTTTGTTTTTTGAATTTCGCGCAAAGCTACACGAGGGCTATCTGCGCTAGCCGTCCCTAATTTAGCAGTGTAAGACTAGAGGGAAGGCAGCTAGTCATCACCACCCACCGCCAACTCTTGGGCTACTCTTTTACCAACGAATAGTGGGATTGACCGTCACATTATAACGCCCCCACGGCTGAAAGGGCGAGCATGTTTGGGGTATGCGGATTCGAACCCGCGACCCTCAGATTGTGAGTTGAGCGCCTTATCCACCTGGCCATGCCGGGCCTCCGGCCCTTTGGAGGTGACTGCAAAAGTAGGATCCACATAACGGTGGGGGATACCCCGCCTGTCAGTCTTAACCTCCGTTCGCTAGGTGCGCTGGTGACTTCCTTTGTTTTGATAATGCAACGTTATGATTCTTTTTTTTATAAAGAGTTGCTTTTGAATTCGCTTGTTTTAGAGCAAAGCCACCGCAGGGAATCAAACCTCAGATTTTAGCGTTGTAAGTCCGTAGGCGGAGAGCAGTTTGTTTTTGAATTATAATAAATACATAAATGGAAATTTAATTAGTAATGGTACTTACCACCGTTCCTGCAAATAAGTAAAAAGGCTCGATGACCTAGCGTTAGGTTTCGAAATTAATTTATAACTCACTGCACGCAAACTTGCAATTCAACACGTCGTAAACTCATGCCCATTATATTTATCTACATATATGAAACGAGATACCGATATCACAAGATAAAAGTAATTTCAAAATGTATCGAGCTTAGAAAGCACCTACCAAAGAGTTACATGTGTTTTTTAACCTATTTCTCCGATATAATAAGTTCGAACTTATAATTTCTCCCAAATAATGACATACTACATAACGAACTCGTGCATGGAATGAGATGACGTAATTATCGAATAATATTTCAAATTATATTATTATTATTATTATTTTATATTACATGTTACTAAGCGCGTATAACCAGAAGATTAAATCGAACTTCCAATCTGTAGCGTCACGTGACTTTTCCCGCTAACACTGAAGCACCAATATATTGACGAGTCCCGTGATGCACATACAGGTGTCCTAAAATAAAGTTGAATAACATTGGTATTATTTGAGATAAAATTTAAAATAAAATATCTCTTGAAGGTTTGTAAGTTTTATTTAATTTAATTAATAAACTTCAACATGTCTTCCATCGTAATCAATCTAATTCTGAGACAGTTTCCACCATAGCTGTAAGAAAGTATCACGAATCCGAGGTTTCAGTTCCCCCAAGAAACCTTGGTTTGTTATGGTTGATCTTTGTTTTTAAAAAGCCCCAAAGATAAAAATCCAAAGGGGGTAAACTCCTCAAGAGTTGTCATTTTGCTCGAAAGCATAGTCAGTTCTGAAATCTGCAATAAAACACGTTCATAAATAATAATGACAGATAATGTAAGTAATAACAATAATATTTCAGTTAAATAAAACTTACAAACCTTCAGAAGACATCTTATTTTGAATTTTGTTTCCTTAAATAATAAAATATTAATTCAACTTTCTTTCTGGTATATTCATTTTCGGTCACCTTGTATTAACACATGCAGTATTACACCTTGCAGTAGTACAGGTTACTACAACATATTTATATTAACACATACAGTATTACACCTTACAGTAGTTGTAGTAACCTGAAGATAAGTATATGTAACCATTTACTACAGAACTGGATAACCCCAGCTTCTGACGTCACTACCTGTGTTAATACGAATATGTATAGGCTACTACTGTACCGGATAAACCCAGCTTCTGACGTCACTACCTGGGTTAATACGAATATGTATAAGCTACTACTGTACCGGATAACCCCAGCTTCTGACGTCACTACCTGGGTTAATACGAATATATAGGTTACTACTGTACCGGATAACTCCAGCTTCAGACGTCACTACCTGGGTTAATACGAATATGTATAGGCTACCACTGTACCGGGTAACCCCCGTCTTTTAAGATAATGACCTGTGTTAATATGAATTCGTACATGTTACTACTACTACTGTATGTGTTAATATAAATATGTACAGGTTACTACTACTACTGTAAGATGTAATATTGTATGTATAAATATGTACAGGTTACTACAACTACTGTAAGGTGTAATATTGTATGTGTTAATACAAATATGTACAGGTTACTACTACTACTGTAAGATGTAATACTGTATGTATAAATATGTAGATTCGTGTCTACTAGTTACGAACAATTAATTAAAATTTCAAATTGATGTTTATAAATGAAAATTCGTCTTTTCAAATCTAGTGAAATTCAATTAAATTACGCTCATCTTTTTATATTTACGATAGTAGGTACATATTCCACAGAAATAGCTGGTGAATTTGACAGGGTTCTGCTAATTTCTTCAGGATTGGACTACTTTTTCAAGCTGCTTTCTGATACAAATTATTCAGTGATCAAAGTCAATTTCATTGAGTTTCCTTGAAACCACGTGGCGTTATAATAATTGTTTGTTACGGATTTCTCTAGCCGTCTCTAATTTAGCAGTGTAAGACTATAGGGAAGGCAGCTAGTCATCACCACCCATCGCCAACTCTTGGGCTACTCTTTTACCAACGAATAGTGGGATTGACCCTCACTTTATAACGCCCCCACGGCTGAAAGTGGCGAGCATGTTTGGTGTGACGGGGATTCTAACCCGCGACACACAGATTGCGAGTCCAGCACCCTAACCACCTGGCCATGCCGGGCCCGTTATAATAGTATAGCTTCTCAAACATTTCAATGTGCGAAACGACCATTCAGAAACAGGTATATTTGTATACATAAGTATTAGGTTTATTATATATTTTAACCCTACATTTGTTATTCAGTCTCTTAGTTTTTTTTCAATAAGAAGAGCGTATAATATCACTTTCAATCGCACAATATCCGACGTAGCCATTGCTGACCACTACTGTATTAGTAGTTCCCCAGGCGGTTTGATGAGCTCTGTAATGAGGAAAACGCGTTGTAGGTAAATGATATAGCAGATAGTGTGGTTCAAATACTTTTATACTCTAATTCTTGAAAACTCTACAGGACTAAATAAATAATGTAGTGTTAGAAAATACGATAAGCCTAATAGTAACGTTTTGAGAAATATAAATAATTATAAATTAATATATTTTTTCTCTGATTATTTCCAAAGTTGTAATCTAGTTAATTTCATGCAATCGCAGCCATGTGGTTTTTTACAATTATTTCCTGACCAATTATAAACATACATTTGAATTTACATATATTGCGTAGTTTTACATCAAGACTCTACTGATCTATGTGATCGGTTCGCTAGTTTTAGTAGATTAACTCGGTTATTGTCACTGGGCAACAACGTGAAAACCGGGGCAGGGTAATTCCATTAATACTAGTAATAAACGACCTTATAACACCAAATCTGTTACTTTTCTTTAATTGGACACTCAACGTTTCGCTTTACAGTTTCTTCAGGAGCGTTCTACTGAAAAACAAACCGTAACTGATAACGCAAAGTTTTGTTGTTGTTATTGAAGTTTTGTACTGTCAATTACGGTTTGTATTTTAGTAGAACACCCCTGAAAAAGGTGTAAAGAGAAACGTTGAATGTCCAATTAATGAAAATAAAATTTGATATTATAAGGTCGTGTATTTACAGAATTGTTTTTTTTTTGTATATATATCAATATGAAACTGGGTAATGAGAATAATTCAATTATCATTACTAGGCAACAATGTAGAAACAATAGTGGAATAATTCGATTATCATTACTAGGCAACAATAGAAACAATAGCCGCATAATTCGATTATCATTACTAGGCAACAATGTAGAACCAATAGTGGAATAATTCAATTATCATTACTAGGCAACAATGTAGAAACAATAGTGGAATAATTCGATTATCATTACTAGGCAACAATGTAGAAACAATAGTGGAATAATTCGATTACCATTACTAGGCAACAATGTAGAAACAATAGCCGAATAATCCGATTACCATTACTAGGCAACAATATAAAAACAATAGCCGAATACTTCGATTACCATTACTAGGCAACAATGTAGAAACAATAGTGGAATAATTCGATTACCATTACTAGGCAACAATGTAGAAACAATAGTGGAATAATTCGATTACCATTACTAGGCAACAATGTAGAAACAATAGTGGAATAATTCGATTACCATTACTAGGCAACAATGTAGAAACAATAGCCGAATAATTCGATTACCAGTACTAGGCAACAATTTAAAAGCAAGAGTATTTGTTGCCTAGTGCTAACATTCGAATGATTGTAGGAAAATCGAAATAAAACTACAGGTGTAAATGTTCATAAATTATATTATTTGATATTTTCAACTCAGAGTAGGAGTTTTAGAGAATATATACAAGTTGTATTTTCTTTTGTTCTTTTACGAATCGACGAGTCCCTTTCTTTAAACTCAGACGACCTGTTGAGTTGTTAATTCCAAAGACACAGTCATGGTGCAGTTAACAGATGAAAAGAATCAAACTGAGTGGTGGATAATCTTTTATTTGGGTTTAGGTTTCATTTTACAAAACCAATTACTGGGTTAAAGATACGTTTCTTCAGAAAATAACATCTCATTATTATCTAACTATATAGCCTCAAAATCTGGCGACCAGTTTTTGCAACATTTAAACAGTTTTTTTTAGGCAAACTGGTGAAAAAACTGGCGAACAGTGATCACAACATTAAGCTAATTTTTAGCTAACAATATAACGTGTGAAAAACCTGACATCTAGTGCTCAAAATACTAGCTTTCATACCGTTGTTACATCAAACAATGGGGTTAATTATTTGTACCATCTCCATATGGTGTATTTAAGACCTTAAAATTACAGTTAACGGTTTTTTTTATCTATGTATTTCTTGTATTGTACAAGCGAAAGAGAAGATAGGTCAAGTAAGTAGTCGATTTGAAATTAAACGGAGCTTATCTAACCGCCCACTCGTTCTGTAGAAACACCTTTTCATAAAATGTAATTACTTAATGACATTGACAATTAATTTAAAAGATCGCACTGTGTCCCTTTTAACCCTGGACCTGTGGACTAATCTGTAAGGGCTCGAGAGGTTTGACCTGTACCGAGAGTGTGTTTCTAACTATCCTTCAGTGGTAAGCCTGGACACTGACCGCTGCTGCGTGAGCTATCAGAGCATCCGCAGCTTGCCTCGTTTCTAACAGTAATCTTAACTCTTTAATCCAGTCACGTGCTACGTTTCGTGGCTCTCCTTTAAGCTGATTGGCGTATCTAAGGGCCTGTTCCAAGTTCTCGTGGTCCAGGGAATGACGAATCCTCGTTAGTATGTCGAAAGTGTGCCATTTGGATGGGTCAACTTCGTTTTCATTATTCAGTTCTCCAGCAGGGAGTTTTGCTGATTCAATTACTAGGAGTGACTGTAAATAAGACACTAGATATCTGTAGAGGGAGCCACCGTTCTCATCTATGAGCGCCACTCTTCGGCAGACTTTATTAACTTTGTGGAAACGTTCTTTTAAACTTTCCTCAGTGTAGACGCCTCTATGTAGGGCTTCTTTGGGTATGCCAGCTAAGACTGCAGCTACATACGGCTTGTCCTTTTCGGCAGCCTCATTAATGGCCGTAATTTCTCTATCTAAGGGTTTAGGCTGACCGTAACCTTCCTCGTCAGGTCGACCCGACTTAACGCTTTGTTTCAGCGCCTGACAGGCTAGCCACAATTTCTGGGCCTTCTTGGCTGCCTTGTCAAGTTCTTCACGTGCTAGATGAAATAGAAACGACGAATGAAATTAGTAATATAAGAACAAGCAGCGAATTTTTCTACCCGAAAACTTGGGAATATTTTTCTTACATCAACAATCACCTGGATATGTTTTAAAACACGGCTGCATTTTTTTTTAAACCGAGAAATACGTTTTATTAACTAACTAATAATGCATAACACGAGGTAAATGTTATTATTTTATCACAAGTTACAGCTTTTACAGTAAGGAAGAATATTTTGAAAACAGGTACGACGTTTCGATCACTAATGCGATCATTCTTAAAGTACTCAAGTTTTAACGCTAAAGAAGGTTTTAGTATTTAAATCAACATTCAATAATCTAACAACATTTGAAAGATCTAACAATGATCGAAACGTCGTACCAGTTTTTAAAAATATTCTTCCTCATTGTTCAAGCCGTAACTTTTAATAAAACAATACTTATAACCAGTAAGTAAACTCAAAACGAAACTGGTGTATTTAAGTGTTTTACACTAACAAAAAAAAAGAAACCTGTCATTCTATAGGTATTTGAAGAACTTGTAGCATTCCGCCACAGTTTAATTCTTCGTATTGTTAACCGACACTGGGCAGCTTGTACATACGTAATTGAATTAATACAACTCTATTTATTCAAAACGGAACTATTAATTTGTAATTTTTGTTAAAAATAT